TGGGTTTATTGTTCTTATATACACATTAGAACCACCCACAGGGTTTTGGAAACCAACCAATAAACACATACAATACACTCAGACACTCCCACACAAAATCCTCCCCTCTGCCTGTAATACAATTACCTTACACAATGGGTAATGTAATTATCACAAGCAGAGAAATAAACTTTTTCCACATTATTCATAACTTGAAAAGTATGCATCACATTCACATAAAACATTTTCAGAATCCGCATACTCCAAATACAAACATATGTCAAAATCATCCAAATTGGTCCAGTGGTTCAAAAGATAGATCGTAGTCCTTTGTGACCAAAGGAAGCATGGCTTTTCTGCCCCAAACCAGTTCCACAGAGTCTTCTATCCTGGAGATAATTGGGTAGTAATCCAATTATCTCCAAGGACAGAGGCAAAACTCCATTGAACACATGGCAGCAAAAGACAATAAAACACATAAAAACATATAACTGTGCAGCCATTGCACAAAACAGGTACATTCAACATATCCCCAGATCGCTCATGTGACGAAATGCCTTTTGTCCCTGGATTGTTAGGTGACAAGCTGCCCTTTGCCCCCGGCTTTTGGAGGAGCCTTATTGCCAGCCTCCTTCCTCGTGACACTGGCCCTGGGGTGTATTTATTTTTGGATGTTTATTAATATTGGATGCATGGTTTTAGAGTTATGAAAGTTGGGTAAAAAGTGTGTTTTAAAATGTATGGATAATTGGGTTACCTCTCAGGCTAGGGGGAGGAGATGTGTGGGATGTAACCATTGTGCGATTGGTTGTACTGTGTCCCACCCTGTGGGATGTCCCCTTGCATGGGGACTTGCATAAAAGCCAGTATGTGGTCATTAAAAGCAGATCATCTTGTAACTTCATGAAGTTTCGGCTCATGTTTGGGGGATTGGAGAAACTAGACTCTGGGGATTGCTATAATCACTATACTCCCCAGGGTATAATCACTAAGCTCTGCTAAGAGCTTGTTCCTGTTCCTGCTCTCTGGAATTCGGAAAGAGGTCGACCTGCTGGAAGCTGGACCCTGGTCCTGGGTCCAGAGTGGGTGGAGACGGCGAGACCCCAACCAAGCTGCGGCGGTTTGTGGGGTCTGCAGTGGTTATGGTGTCAGGCAGAGTGCTTGGAGTCCTCGGAAAGCACTAGGAGCATCCGTCGGCGGAAGGAACCCGGTCGGGGTGCCAGCAGTTCCGTTACAGTGGTGGCAGCGGTGGGATGGCGTCCTAGTGCGAGGAGATGCAGCGCAGAGGCACTGGTAACATTTGGAATAACAATTTGAGGGCAACGCTAGTATTCGTACAGCGCCCCTGGTCACAGCAAACATGACCTATCGCTTTGAGGGTGCCACTTACAGGGAGGAGGCAAAGAGGCGGTTAACCAGGTATGGCCCGGATCCCTCGTTAGAGACGATCCTGGCAACCATGCGCAAGTTGGATGAGGAGAATCGAGCGGCATGGGAATTTGAGCTCCGATTGCGGAGATTGGGGCTGTGGCCAATTGATCTCTCTCCCCAGCGGCAGACAGCATCCCAGGGAGAGGAGATTGTCGGTCCCTCGTCCCTGCAACAACCATCATCACTGGGAGTTGAGACAGTCGGTCTGACTCCCCAGCGGCAGTGTGTTGACAAGGGAGAAGAGACAACTGGTCTCTCTCCCCAGCGGCAGTGCAAGTTACAGGGAGCCGAAGGTGTCGTCCTTCCTCCCCAGCGGCAGTGTGAATTACAGGGAGCCGAAGGTGTCGTCCTTCCTCCCCAGCAGCAGTGTGAATTACAGGGAGCCGAAGGTGTCGCCCTTCCTCCCCAGCGGCAGTGTGAATTCCAGGGGGCCGAAGGTGTCGTCCTTCCCCCCCAGCAGCAGTGTGTCCTACCGGGAGCAGAGACAGTTGGTCTCTCTCTCCAGCAGCAGGACAAGGTTATGGGAGTGGAGACAGGCGGTCTCCCTCTCCAGCGGCAGACTGTGTTTCAGGGAGAGGAGCACAGCACCCTATCTCCCCAGTGGCAGCTTACCCTACCAAGGGGAGACACCAATCTCCCAGATGGCGCAGAGGGGACCGTGGTCTCTGTGCCCGACCTACAGGGATGCTGGACAGCCTGTCCAGATCCCCAACTACCCTCACAGGGACAACAGGAGGAGGGGGTAAGTACGAATTCCCCTCCCCAGCTAACTCCTAACTTGGCCCCAGGAGATGTTAACCCCCACTGACTCCCATGTTCCCCTGGCTACTGAGCCGGACTATGTTCCCAACTGCACCAGGAAGGCCGAGGATGCTGCATTTTTATCCTACAACCTGGAACCTACCGGCCAGTACTGTTTATTGTGGGGGGGCTACTTTGCCACTTGTTATTTGTGGGTGGGCTACTCATGTACTTGTTCACTGTGGGTGGGTTTATCGACTAACTCAGGCACTGACCGACAGGTCAGGTACCTGGTTAGTCTCCCCCCCAAAGGGGAGATGTGTGACGAAATGCCTTTTGTCCCTGGATTGTTAGGTGACAAGCTGCCCTTTGCCCCAGTCTTTTGGAGGAACCTGATTGCCAGCCTCCTTCCTCGTGACTATGGCCCTGGGGTGTATTGCCATTTAAAAAGACTATTTGGGGCTTATTGGCTTCTAAAGACAGTTTCTTCCCATTGGAATCCATGGGAAGGTGTGTTTCTTCCCCTCCCCCGTTTCCTGTCTATTGTTCTCAAGCAGGGAGTTGTCCCAGGGACACTGCCAGACCAGTGGGAACTGGTTTGGGCAGGAAAAGTCATGCTTCCTTGGGTCACAAAGGACTTCTAACTAACTTTTGAACTAATGGAAGGATTTGCATGATTTTTGGGTATGTTTGTATTTGGGATGTGCTGATTAATAATATGTGACTTTTATTAATATTGGATGTATGGTTTTAGAGTTATGAAAGTTGGGTAAAAAGTGTGTTTTAAAATGTATAGATAATTGGGTTACCTCTCAGGCTAAGGGGAGGAGATGTGTGGGATGTAACCATTGTGCGATTGGTTGTACTGTGTCCCACCCTGTGGGATGTCCCCTTGCATGGGGACTTGCATAAAAGCCAGTATGTGGTCATTAAAAGCAGATCATCTTGTAACTTCATGAAGTTTCGGCTCATGTTTGGTGGATTGGAGAAACTACACTCTGGGGATTGCTATAATCACTATACTCCCCAGGGTATAATCACTAAGCTCTGCTAAGAGCTTGTTCCTGTTCCTGCTCTCTGGAATTCGGAGAGATGTCAACCTGCTGGAAGCTGGACCCTGGTCCTGGGTCCAGAGTGGGTGGAGACGGCGAGACCCCAACCAAGCTGCGGCGGTTCGTGGGGTCTGCAGTGGTTATGGTGTCAGGCAGAGTGCTTGGAGTCCTCGGAAAGCACTAGGAGCATCCGTCGGCGGAAGGTACCCGGTCGGGGTGCCAGCGGTTCCGTTACAGCTCAGATCTGAGCGCACATTATTACTGAATGGCGCTCAGAGCACACACATACAGTTCAATTGCCATGGAGCCAAAGTGTTTCCCAAAGTCTTTCATTATAGGAATGGGCTTCATGGCATAGCTATCTGGGGTATCACCGCTCAAACAGGGCCAGCACCGAATGACCCAGCTTTCGTGTCTGCGCAGGGGAAAATCAAGCGTTTCAACATGGGGACATAGTCTAAAGGCAGCAGGCGGGCAACCAGGCTCCTCCAATGCACAGTGGCGAGATTGGTCTCGTCACACTATGTTTCTGTGTGTTAATGTGCATGTATATCTGTGTAAGTATGTATGTGGTAGTGTGTGTGCATACATCCAAGCAGTCAAACACCAGCACAAAATACAAACACACCCCTGCATTCAAACTCCCCAAAAATATACACACACCCCTTCATTCAAACACAAATACTTCACACAAATGTACATCCACATTAAAAAGTGAACAATTACATTCATACACACCCCTGCAATCAAACTCAAACATTACATATAAACACACCCCTGTTTTAAAACACAAACTATATACAAGCAGCCCTTCAAACACCAATACTGTACATTACACTATAGCGCCATTAAATGCCGCAGCGCTGTACAACTATACAACCTAGAAATTTCAACTTGGGGTGCCTTAAAAAATATTGAAATATTAAGGGCACCTTGAACCTTAAAAGTTTGGGAACCACTGAGCTAAAGACTTTCTTTAGATATTGGAACAGCAGTTGCAGCTCTCATACTGTGTATCACCGCAGATCAGGAAAACTCTTTGGTACAAGGTGATCCTGAGAGCTGCGGTAGTCACTTTTTCTGAGAGCACAGCTACTGACGTGTGCAGCTCAGGCCTAGCTCAATCCCCACGTCAGTCAAGCAGGCTGATCAGGGGTAGAGCCAGCAGCAGCTGACCTGAATAAAAGTAAGAATTTGCTATATTTAGGGGGCCAATGGGGTCCAGAGGGGCTAGATAGTGGTTTTAACACCATAGGGTCAGGAATATATGTTTGTGTTCCTGACGCTGTAGTGTTTCTTTAATATAGTGGTTTTGGTGTCTATAGCCTGTCCCTGCAAGGGTTTTAATGTAAACACTGTCTTTTCAGAGAAAGGCAGTAGTTACATTAATGTCTAGTAAACCCTGTAGTGGCTGAGTGACGGCATGCACAATAGCCTTCCAACACTTTCCATTGGCTGAGATCATCAAATTTGATGATCTCAGCCAAGGAGTTTGAGTGGGGGCAGGGCAACCTGCATGGAGATCCACCTTTTTTTTTTTTTTTTTCAATTTGACAATTTTTATTTTGTCTTAAGATATACAAACAAACAAAAGAAAAAAGAGGGGGGTACAGAAGGGAAGAAGGGGGGGGGTTTGCAATGGAACTTTCATCCTTCAACAAGAATAATAATGCTAAACAACATTACATGGTTCTAATGGTGACGAATTTCCGTCCATCTAGTGTTGCTTTGGCTCTCGTGTTTCGTAGTTTATGTGTGTTCACGCTAATGCTAGGTTGCCCTATATGAACCTTGTCCTCAAGTCGGGTGTTTCAGTTCCCAGTTTTCCCATACTTCGTGTCTCCAGCTTTTATTAGGTGGGATGCGGGATATGTTAGATTCAAATTTCCCAATTTGGGATAGGTGCCTGATTAATTCTCGCATTGTTGCATTGGTAGGTGACAGCCAGTTTTTTGCGATAAGGTTTTGGGCGGCTACTAGTATGTGTAGAAGCAGGTATTTGATTGGTTTTGGGTACTCTGTATCCCACATGAGTAGTAATAAGGCTTTTGGGGAGTTTGGTATCGTGATTGAGGTGTGTTGGTGTATAAGTGAGATTACCTCCTTCCAGTACGGCTGGAGTTTGATACATTTCCACCAGATGTGTAAAAAAGTGCCTGCTTCTTGTTTGCAATGCCAGCAGGTGCTGGACAACTGTGGGTCCATGGTGGCTAGACGCGTTGGAACCATGTACCAGCGATAAAAATTTTTACGAGTTGTCTCTAAGTGTGAAGCACAAAATGTCAGGCCTCTGGTTGCGTTTGCTGCGGCCAGCCAGGTCTGCTCTGGTAGCGTTTGGTTTAGGTCTTTTTCCCAGGAGCGTACACATGTGAGGGATTTTATTCCCTGTTGGGGCAGTAATAGTTTATATATGGTTGAAATGGGTTTTACCGCTGGTGTGTCTGCTATAATACTCTTTTCGAAGTGGGTTAAGATAGTAGTGATTTGTGGTATGGGGTGTGGAATCTGAGTCTTCCACCAGGATCTCAGCTGGAGGTAAGAGTAGTATGCCGTGTTCGGTAATGTATAAGCGGTTTTCAGATAGTCGAATGAGGCTAATTCTCCTTTCTCTAATAGGGAGTATATGTAAAACACCCCACATCTATTCCATATTCTGAAGTTAAAATCGGGTATTGTGTGTATCAGGGTTTTAATTGGGGTTGATAGGGGGGTTGGGTGGCAGCTGCACAGGAGTTTGCGGGTGTCATCCCAGATTTTCAGCGTCGTCAAGGTAGCGGGGAGTGCCTTTGTGATGTTTGCCCTTAAATGGGGTAGTGTCCATAATGTTGTTTGTATATCCTGTGATTGCAGCCATTGTTGTTCTATGGAAACCCACTGGGGAGGGGGTTTGTTTTGGTGGATGGGGAGGAGGCTGGCCAATACTGCAGCTTTATGGTAGAGTTTCACGTTGGGGAGGCTCATGCCACCCATCTGTATTGGTCGATGCAATGTGGATAAGGCCACTCTCGGATGTTTCCCCTGCCATATGAATAAGTTAATTTGTTTCTGAAGAGTGAGAAAGTAGGTGGACGGTATTGTCAGTGTGAGTGTTCGAAATAGATATTGCAACTTGGGTAATATTACCATCTTTACCGCTGCTATTCGACCCTACCAGAATATAAATTTATTCCGCCATTGTAGGAGGGTGTTAGTAATATCTTTACTGAGTTTAACGTAATTTAAGTGGTATAAGTTGGATATGGTATGCGGAAGTTTAATGCCCAAATATACAAGGTGGTCTCTCCTCCAATCGTAGGAGAACTGGCTCCTCAGGTTTGTCAGATAGTCGTCCTCCATACCCATCCCCATGGCCTGTGTTTTAGATAGGTTTAGCTTGTAGTAAGAGCAATGGCTATATTGTTGCAATAAGTCGTGAAATGCTGGTAGAGATTTGTGTGGGTTTGTTAGAGTTAAAAGGATATCGTCAGCGAAAAGGTTTAATTTGTATTCCGACCCGCCTAGTTTGATTCCCGTTATCTCTGGTGATGAGCGTATGGATTCAGCTAGTGGTTCTAAAGCTAATATATATAAGAGAGGTGAAAGAGGGCATCCTTGGCGGGTGCCATTAGTGATGGAAAAAGGCCGTGATTGGAATCCGGACGTGAAGACCCGGGCCTCAGGGTTGCTGTATAGTGATTTGATCATGGAAATGAAATGTGGTGGGAAGCCAAATTTGACCAAGACCGCCTGCAGGAACGACCAGTGCAGACGGTCAAAGGCCTTCTCGGCGTCTAAGGACAAAAGGAGGCTGTTGGGGAAGCGTCTGTGCATTGTGTGTAGCAACGCGAGTGCCTTCCGCGTGCGGTCAGCTCCCTGCCTGCTTCGTACAAATCCAACTTGGTCAGAGTGAACTATAGTCGGCAATATGGATGTCATTCTATTGGCGTAAACTTTGGCCAGGATCTTCACGTCCGAATTCAATAGGGAGATCGGTCTGAAGTTTGCGCATTGAGTTGGTGATTTGCCAGGTTTGGGTAGGGTGGCTATGTTGGCTGTGAGCATGTCTGATGGTATGTTCTCTTGTGTTGTGGTAAAGGTGAAAAGTGATGTTAGTCGGGGGGCGAGTATGGAGGAGAACCTCTTGTAGTATGTGTTCGGCAACCCGTCTGGGCCTGGGGTTTTATTTAACGGCAAATTCTGTATGACTTTAAGTATCTCTGTCTGTGAGATGGGTTCAGTCAGGAGCTCCTGTTGGGGCACTGAGAGTGTGGGTAGATGGATTTTGTCTAGGAAAGTAGAGATTTCTCCCTTCGTGGGTTGGTGTACTGTAGTGTCGTCTTTTAGGTTATAAAGTTTGCTGTAAAAATCAGCAAAAAGTTCGCTGATTTGTTGTGGTTTAATTATTTTCTGTCCATCTTGGGAGGTGAGGTATGCTATTTTGGTTTGTGCGTGTACGTCTCTAAGTCGGGTGGTCAGGAGTGAGCTGGCTTTGTTACCTAAGCAATATTCTTTGGTTTTCAGTTTTTGAAGCGTTCGGGTTGTGTTCGCTATATTAATGTCGTTGAGGTCTGATTGGGTTTGGGCGATGGTTGCAGCATCTTCTGGGTTCGGGTGGAGAAGGTGGGACGCTGTAGCGTCTCTCAATTTCCTTAGTAGGTTTAGATATTTAGTTTGGGAGGATCGTTTTAGGAAAGATGCCCTTCGTATAAATAGCCCACGCATTACGGCCTTGTGGGCTCTCCATATCACTGTTGGGGACATCCCCAGTGTCTCGTTTTCAGAAAAGTAGTGTTTGAGTTCCATTTCCATTTCGGAGCTGAATTTGTCGTCGTGTAAAATGGAGCTATTAAGTCGCCATGGGTTGCAACCTCTAAAGGTGAAGTCATCCCTGAATTTAGTGAGTATTGGGGCATGGTCTGACCATATGATGTCACCTATAGAGCATGTTTGGAGTAGATTGAGAGATGATCCTGATATAAGTATTACATCTATCCTAGAGTATGTTTTGTGAGGTTTGGAGTAATATGAGTACTCTCTGTCCATGGGGTGGAGTAACCTCCAGCAGTCATATAGGTTGAATTTCATTAACAGCTGTGTTATAGCTTTGCAGGTTGGTTTAAGGGATTTCTGTCGGTTAGTGGAGGAGGGCATAGAGGTATCTAGGATTGGGTCTAGGACGTGATTTATATCTCCGCATATGATAGTGTTGCCTCGCTGTGCAGCTGCCACTTTTAGGAGTGTACTAGTCAGAAAGTTTTTTTGGTTTTCGTTAGGTGCGTAGAGATTTACTACCGTATGTTGCACGTCATTTAACAGGCAGACAACAATCAGGTACCTGCCCTGGTCGTCTGAGATGGAGTGTAGTAGTTCAAAGGCTACTGAATTATGTATATATATATGGAGACTCCTCTGGTTTTGGATATGTGCGTGGCGTGGAACTGATGGGGGAAATGCTTTATACCAAATTGTGGAATTTTAGCTTTGGGAAAATGAGTTTCTTGGAGACACAGGATGTCTGCTTTTGATTTTCGGGCCTCTTGAAGTAGCATATGCCGTTTGTGTGGCATATTGAGCCCCCTGACATTATGGGAATAGACTATCAGTGTATGGTGTAAGGCAGGTTGCTATCAGTAAGTTCAGTGTCTTGAATAGTTAGGGATACTTTGCAATGTTGCTCGCTAACCGAGGGCTGAAGGGTTCCAGTTTGTACGGCACTGTTTTGCCTGAGTGTTTGGGCAGGGTAGGGGGAACGGTATCCCAACTGGGAAGGGAAACAGGGGTGAAAAGAAATAAATCTAATTAACCAAAGTATATACATAATGGCCCGATCTCGGTGCAAGGCGCTGCTATTCAGCGCCGTGGGGAGCGTGGGATCGGAGATGGTGGACAGGTGATGGCCTGAGCAGGCTGGTTTCGTGTGGTGCCAAGTACTCTTTTGAGGAGCGTCACTAGGTCGGGTGTTGCCCTGTGTGTTCCTTAGGTGTGGACCATATGCTGAGTGGTAGGCACCTTATGTAAATATAGTGAGAAGCCCTTCTGGGTCTTCAGTCTAAGAAGGAAGTAGGGGTCAAAAACTTGGGTGGGTTCTATACTGGAGGGGGGGTCCCTCTTCTGTGTGAGCATGTCTGCAGACCAAACCCCTGAGTGAGCCGTCCGCTATATTGCGTTTAGTTTCCCTGGCTGTAGGGGCGTGTTGTTAGGCCTTGGCGGCCTTCAAATGGGATGTGGCTGGGGGGGGATTACCTCTGTTTCAGGGAGGTGGCATGTAACAGTTTCAGTAACAGATAAACACTTAGGTCATATACATTATAATATTGCTGTACAACCTGCAGACGGTATGAACAAATATAAAATAACATAAAATTGACAGTTAGCTGTGTACTGCTAGTTACAGTGGGGCTAAGTATGCCCACGCCTTTCAAGCTCTAGCGTGCTGATTTGTAGGGTAATGGTGACCAAGCGTCAACGGTAACTGTGAGCATAGTTAGCTCATATGGTTTGTCAAAGCGATTTTACTCGCGTTAAGGCTTTATATCTGGGGGACTCCCAGCTGCGTGAGTGTGTCTGCCGACTAGACCCCTGGGCACGCCGTCTGCCATATTATGTTTGATGTCCCTGGCTTGAGGAGTGTATTACCGGTCTTTAGCGACCGTCAAATAGAGTATGGCCAGGAGGTTACGTGTGCTCCAGGGAGGTGGTGTGTGACAGAAACAGGTAAATACTTAGGTCATATACCTTACAATGTTGATGGTACAACTTGCACACAATATGAACAAGTATAAGATGACAGAAAAATTTACAGTTGATTGCGTACTACAAATTACGCTGGAGCTAAGCATATATATGTCTTTTAAGTTTTGGCGGGCTGGCCCTTGGGGTAGTATTGGCTAAGGATCAACGATAACCGGAAGCCTAATACGATCGTGTAGATTGCCCAAGTGGGTATGCCTGCGGTGAGGCCTCGTACTTGGGGGTCTCCCAACTGCGTGGGTATGACTGCAGATTAGACCTATGAGTGAGTCGTCCGCCATATTGTATTTGGTGTCCCTCATTCAAGGGGTACCTTATCAGTCTTTGCGACCGTCAAATAGAGAGTGGCCAGGGGGATTACACAGGTTTCAGGGAGGTGGCATGTAACAGTAACAGGTAAACAGTTAGGTCACATACATTGCAATGTTGCTAGTACACTCTGCAAACGTTATGAACAGGTGTAAAATGATATATGAAAAATTAACAGTTATTTGCGTACTGCAAATAGCAGTGGATCTAAGCATATCAGCGACTTTCAAGCTCTAGCGGGCTGGCCCGTAGGATATTAGTAGCTATGAGTCAATGTTATTTGTGAGCCTAATAAGAACTTGTGGGCCGCCGAAGCGGGTATACTTGCGATAAGGCCTCAGTCGGCGATGTGCCAGTCCTTGACCACTTGTCTCGGTGGTTTCGGGGCCTGCGTGTCGCCTATGACGGTTAGGTTCCATTGGCGCAGGAGGAGTATGCCTTCTTCTGCCGTTTGTACTGCGGTGGTGGTTCCATTTCTCGAAACGATCAGACGGACAGGGAAGCCCCAGCGGTACAGGATACGATTGGCGCGTAGAGTTTCTGTCACCTGTTGGAAGGTTTTCCGTTGTTTCAGGGTGGCTGCGGAAAGATCTGAAAACATTTTAATACTGGTGTATTCGGCCGGTAGGTCTTTCACGGTTCTACTTCTCTTCATCAGGAGGTCTTTAACATGAAAGTAGTGTGCTTTCAATAACACATCCCTGGGTAAGGACGTGGCAATATGTTGAGGTTTAGGGACCCTGTGCAGGCGGTCCAGCAGCAGCATGTCTGTGGGTATTTCTGGTGTCAGAAGCTTGAAGAAGCTGTGTATATAACTGGGTAGGTCCGCCGGGAGGATCGTTTCTGGGATGCCTCTCAGTCTGATATTGCTCCTTCTGGAGCGATCTTCCAAATCCATGAGTTTTGCTTCACATCTCTGGATCTGGTCTGTGAGTGATTTTAAGTGCTCTGTAGACGCGTTGTGCGCGTCGACTAAATCTTCCATCTTGGCCTCCACGTGCGTTGTGCGCGATCCAACATCCTGGAGATCCCGTTTGAGTTCTGCCACGCTGGATTGCCAAGTAGCAACCAGCCTAGGGCTCTCTTTAGGAAGGCAGCTGTGAGCGGTTCGCCGTCATGTGCCGATTCCGCCTCTGATCTCGGGCTGCTCCCCCCTGAGTGCTCGGCGCCATCTTGATGGCCTGCTGTGTCTGTTACTTTCGCCAGGGCTGCACCTTTTTTCTGAGCGAAAAAGTTCATTTTGTCGGGTTTGTCTTGGTGCCGGCGGGTTTTGGGTTGCGACATCTTCTGATTGTGAGTCGTTCTCCCGCAGGATTCTCACTTAAGAAATCTATTGCCTTGCTCGTTGTGCGGAGCTAAGAGCTCATGCGGCCATCTCTCTCCGTGCCTAGCCACGCCCCCGAGATCCACCTTTTTAACAAGGGTTAGAGGGGGCCTGTGACCAAAATGTTCAATTTAGATCTAGAGTGTCAGGACTACATGTTTGTATTCATGACACTATAGTGTTCCTTAAAGTAAACAAAATCAAATATAACCATATAGAATACTAACATGTTATAGGACCTAAGAATGTCCAGATTTAACGATAATAAATAGAATAGTACAGGGCAGGCCAAGGTCAGGGAGACAGAGAGTTAATAAACGGTAAGACAAGCCAAAAATCGAGGAATACAGTAGGTAGAATCCGGTGCATACCTGGAGCATTTGGCACACGGGGCGGATCCTATATTTGCCTCCCCCCCCAGCTTAAAATTTTAAAATACACCCGCACATTTTTTTAAAGTGTTTAGCACCGAGCAGTGTTTGTCTGTTTTCATGTAAGCATGTTTTTGTAAGGAGTATGTGTGAGTGAATGTACAGGTGTGTTTGCACATATTGACATTTGAATGCAGGCGTGCATTTTTCTGTAGTGTGGTTTTTGAATATGGTGATGTGATTTTATGTAGTGTTGACATTTGGATGTAATGTTGCAAACGGGTAATTGGCAATCCGTACAGTGTGTGCTTTGTCCTCTGGGTGACCGCCATTCCGTAGACGAACAAGTGGCGGCGGCCATCTTAAACTTAAACTCCCTAACAGCGGTGTTTTGCCGTCGAGTGTCTGGAACCCAAATCGGACACTCGGCTAGGCGAACACCGCCGAGATCTTCACACTGCCGTCCCTTTATGTAGAAACTACCGAACTGCTCCCTGTTCGGTAGAAAGAACCCCATGAACAAGGGGGTTTATCCGAATCCTCCCCAGTCTCCATAACCCAAGCCGTTCGGGCATTTTGTTCCCTTTTTCTTTTATCGACTGCAGGGCCAAAATGTGTGGAACCCATTTCGGCTGTTAACCCCAGTGCGGTCAGTCTTTTTATTACCTCCAGGAATTTCCCGAACCCCTGGTCCGATCTGTTTCTCACCCAGATCAGGGCTGCCAGGGGATGTAATATTTAAAGGGGTATCCCTATGTGTAGGGGTACATACAGAAAACCAGGGGAACTGTGTCTTGCATAATGGGATTATGAGTTTTACTAAGGGGAGGGGATGTGTGGGTGGCACCTCATGTATTATTGGTGTATTGTATAATTACTGTAAATCCCTCCCTTGCATGGGAGAAAGCTTTAAAATAAGGTTGAGTGATTAAAAGTTCACTTCTGCTCCTGATGCTGTGTGTATTGTCCAGTCATTGGGATTGATATTGGTATATTATTGGATTGTCTTGCCTGCTGTAATTATTGCCTTATGGATTTTTAATACTTGTTCCTGAGCCTCACTGGGATCTTGAGTGGAGATAACCTGTGGAATACCAGCTCTCCGCTACAGACCCACACATATTGTCTATCTTCCATCCCCAGTGATGGTGACTACCATCACACCGGTGTTACACAGAATGCCAGAGGAGACCATAGACATGTGGAAAAGAGGCATGGGGTGGCACGAGTAGCACTCATCGAGCACACTCGGCAGGCACCTTGACACCAGGAAGTAACAGGAACGGTTTTCTAATTGACAGAAAGATGGTTGTAACAAGGTTACTTTATAAAAGTCCTAATTTCTAATGAACTCTGTACTTTTTAAAAAGACACATTTCACACAAAGCATTTCAGAAAGCTGAAGTGTTGTAGGAGTCTGCAGTGTCCAATTAAGCCTGATCATCTCTAAGTACCAGTAATATGCTCTGTCCTAAGTCTCTTCTCTGCCTTACCTTAGTTTGTGAGTTGGGCCACTATTAGTCTTGACAATGTTTGTCTACAAATCTATCTGTCAATAGGGTTTAAATTGCAATTAATAGCTATATACAAAAGCACTGTGCACATTTTCAGTCCCTGAACTATTCAACCATCCCAGGCCAGATGTTGTTTATTCCTAATAACTCCCAGTGTGTGCAGAACATTTGTGTAGTACTTGGAAGGCAGCGTTGCTTAAATACTACTCTACACCCGGTTTACAGAAAACTGTTTTAATATGTCAGCAGGTTTGAACTGAATATTAGCTGACTGACTTTTCACCATCAAATGTTTCCTTAACCTCAATAGAAACTAAGTGTATGAATTGCTGGATTCAAATATTAATTGTATAAAGTGTAAATCTTAAAATCTAGGCAGTGGCCCTAATGCAATTTAATTATTACAGTTTTTCTGGAACTGCTATGTTTCACATTGTAGGGTTAAGGGGACGGGGTCACTGCAGCCAAACCACTTCAATGAGATGAAATTATCTGATTTAATAAGCTTCCAAAATGATTCAAAACTGTTAGAAACATTTTCCAAATGACTTATCTATACAAATTGTAGATTATGCTAGCTTTAGTGTACCTATAATCTTAATTTTATTAATGACAGGAGGTGAGTATTTTGCTTAAGTCTTTCTTTACTTAAGCATCACAGAAGCACTTTTAAACATAGTAACAGGATAACCAATCAGAAAAAAGCAACAGGGTATAAAACTCCCTCCCAGTGATGTCACTTCCTCTTTCTGGCTACGAAACGAACAGGAACATGGAAACCGTAGGTGAACCGCATGAGAATCTCAGCATACCAGACGAGGAGAGTTCATGCTTGAGAGGGACAGGAACTAGGCTTGTCCTCTTGAGGGAGCTTTATGCAGACGAGGAGAGTTCATGCTTGAGAGGGACAGGAACTAGGCTTGTCCTTTTTAGGTAGCTTTACGCTGAAACGAGAGAGCAGAGTCGAAACAGAGGATTAATCCACGAAATGGACTTCTAAAATCAATGCAATCAATTCGTATTAATTCATATATTGAAGTATACATGGGACATCATATCTAGCCTCCCACCCGTAGAGTGCAACCCCTTTTAATACACTCAAGTAAGTCAAAATGTACTTACCCTTCTCTTCAATAAACTTACCTAAAGAGGCGACAAACAAGGGGGGGGGAAGAAAATAAAGGGTGGGAAAATACTTGCCTCCTGTCATTAATAAAATTAAGATTCTAGGTACACTAAAGCTAGCGGAATCTACAATTTTATAACATGACAAGAGGCTTCGTATTTTGCCGTTTTAACACTCCCCAAGTAGGGTTAGGGAAGCGTGCACAGCTGGACGAAAGTAGAAATTGCGAAACTTCTCTTCCCGGGAACAGTCTGATGATTGAAGAATGTTCCGAAGAGAAGCTCCAGCGTTGAACGCTCCTGATGCCGCCGCACCTCTGATGGAGTGGGCTCCGAAGGAGGCTTCTATCCCTGCCAGAGAAAGTAACCATCTAACCCAACGGGCCAGAGTCGTGGTTGACACTGGGTTATATGGTTATAGCTGACTGGAGGAAGATGAACGAAAAGTGGAGGTGAGCGATAGATAGAGAGAGAGAGAGAACCGAGACTACACACAATTTTGGATGGTTAGGGAAATAAGCATAAAATACAGTAGAGGTGTTTAAATTTGGCCATCTGGATAGGATAAAAGTAACACCTTCTGGGGAAAATGTGATGGCGTCATGGTCGAATGCCCGAACATCAGACACTCAGCGGAAAGACACTAAGCAAAGTAAAATGGTGAACTTTGCCGAGAGTTGGCGGAGATAAAGGTCTACGTTGCTCGGCCAAGCTTGTAGGAAACGGATCATGATGGTAACATCCCATAGGTGTGAGTACTGCGGTGCTGAAGGGCGAGTCAGTTTAAAGCCCCGTAAAAGTCTACAGACCCGCGGGTCCTGGCCAACTGGAACTCCGTGGAGAGGAACATGAGCTGCCGAGATGGCTGGTCGGGCAACGTTGATGGACCGGTAGGAAGGCATAGGCCCCCGTCATCGGCCATCTCTGTAGGAAGGCATCCACTGCCGAGTACTCTGGGTCTGGTAGCCAGCTGAAGAACTGTGGGATTTAAAAGTTTGTTTGGGAAGCGAACAGGTCAAGCACAAACTGGCCCCTGTGTTTTGAGATGCGAAGGAAAACTGAACTGTGCAGGTGCCAATCGCTGCCGTCTCTCCAGTGTTGGGAGAACCAATCCGCTGTGATGTTCATCTCTCCCAGAAGGTATTCTGCTTGAAGCGTGATGTTGCATTGAAAACAGAAATTGTAGATGTCTTTCGTCACTTCTGAAAGTGTGTGAGACCTGCCCCCCCCTCCAATCTATTGATGTATTGGATGGCTGAGATATTGTCCATCCGAAGGAGAATGCAGCAGTCCGAGAGGTGATTGGCCAGACTGCGGATTACGAAGGAGCCTGCAAATAATTCCAGACAATTGATGTGGAATGAGTGTTATGCCGTTGTCCAGGGTCCCCCAGTGGAGGTCGTATGACAAGTTGCACCATAGTCTCGAAGGCACGCATCTGATTCTACTATGAAGTGGGATCGAAAACTGGTTTGCCATTCCAAGCAGACATATGAAGGAGCCATCAACGGAGTTACTTCGGTGGTAATCGGGACCCTCTGGTTGTATGACGAGTGGACTCGGAGAAATTGAGCGTTCAGGCATTGCATGGCCCTATAGTGTAGGGGTCCCAGGTAGATTGCCTGGATTGGAGCGGAGAGGAGGACCACGATCCGAGCTAAACCTCTGAGAGGTATATCCACCCGTCGAAGAGTCTTGCATAGTTCTTTCCGGTTCGACGATAGTTTGTATTGAGACAGGCGGAGAACACAGGTTGAAGAGTCTATCTCGAAGCCGAGGAACTGGACCATTTGGGATGGGGAAAGTGACGGCTTCTCCTGGTTGATAACGAACCCTGAACAAATCTGAAATCGCAGTCTGGATGTGTCTTCGCAAAGTAGTAAGAGATCGTCGAGGTAGATTAGGTAGCGTAAGCCCCTGGCTCGAAGATGTGCAGTAACCAGCTTGAGCAGTTTGGTGACGTACCACGGTGCGGAACTGAGGCCGAATGGTAGGCTGGTGAACAGGAAGGTCTGGTGGTTCCAAAGGAAGCATCGACTGGCTGGGTGTACTGACACAGAGAGGTATGTGTCCTTGAGGTCGAGTCGGGTGAACCAATTGCCTGGCCGACGTATGTCTCGGGGGAGATGTATGCCTTTCATTTTGAAATGCCTGTACACCACGAAGGTATTCAGTTGGCGGAGGTTGATGACCAGGCGGAGTTCCCCTGACTTCTTCCGGACCAGGAAGATAGAACTGAGAAAGCCCTCATCGTTTTTGGCGAGTTGGATCGCTCCTTTTGTGAGTAGGGATCGTAGTTCCAAATTGAAGTGAGTGTGACAGCTCTGCTTCCTCTTCCCCTATCCGACCTTTGGGTGTAGAAGCCTCTTGATTGATAGTTCGGGAAGAATAGTGATGTGTGGGGTCACTGGCATTGGCTTGTGGCCCAGAAACGTCTGGCTGTACGACCCCTTGTACGGCCAACCCTGCCAAAAACCTGAGAGGGTTGTTGATGAAACATTCTTTTTATGGATGACTGCGCCTTGTTCAGTGTGGCGTATAGATTTACATGTTTGTGTAATTCTTTAATATATAGGGTTCTCTAAATAGCAGACCCTTGGCTTTGGGGCCTAATTCTTTGGCTCCCAAGTCGGACAGTTTGGTGTCCATGCACAGCAGCACTGCTTTCCTACGCTCTGTACAGAGGGATGTATTTGCATTGCCCAGCAGGCATATGGTGCGTAGTGCCCATTGTCTGATTACAGATAGGTCTAATGGTCCCTCTAGAGAGAGGACGTCATCAGCCAGTAAAATAATTTTTGCAAGGGGGGCCCCAGGATAACCAGCATTTTGTCATGGGTGAGGCGTTGCCACGTGTCTCACCACGACATGCAGACTGCCAGACGAGGTCGCCCCAGAAGTGCCCAATACGGGATTTGAACCGTCCTAGGCCTGCTCCTGTCACTCATGGTTCACCTGTGGCTGATCACTGATTAGACAGGTATTAGACACTGCCTCTCCCTGAGGGCAGTGTCCGTTCATTGACTCTTGTTCAAGTATTGCTGTTTCATGTTCCTGTGTTCTCCTGTTGATTCCTGACCTTGGCTTGTTATTTTGTGTACCCTGACTTCTGGCATCCTCTGACCTCGGCTCTCTACTGGTTTATCCTGATTTCTGGCACCCACTGACCTTTGGCTTACCAACGACGATTCTCCTGTTTATGTCCGTATCTGCACTGCGACTTGGAGCATCATCCTGCACAGCCCCCATGCACCGACTCACAGGCCAGATGAATTCTTACCTGACCACCTTGGCCTGTGTTTACTTGCAAGAGTGAGCACATATATCTGCGTTCCATACTCCCATTTAGCTAAGCCCTGAGAGGCGTAAGCTGCATTCAATGCCCTCTTTAGGGTCACGGCCAGTTCTGGCTAGGTATGTGTAAAGCAGCGTGTCAATTCTGGGGTCATAGCGACCTTGTCTGGTAGGGTAGGCCTTAGACATTCTGCTCTTAGGCGTTTGCGGACCTCCCGATCCAGGGGTCTCCTAATCCAGAAGTGGATGTACTGGGAGAGATGGTCTGGAAGAGACCATTCTGATAATCGAGGGTATCTGATATGCAGAGGGTCAAATAGTGGTTGACCAAGTGTATCCAGAAAGGATTCAGCCTTCCCTGCTGGTATTGATCCAGGAACCGAATCCTCCAGTGTGAGGTCACTAATAGCATCTTGAGGAAAAGGTGCTCCCCTGAAGGATGCCTCAGGCCAGTCCCTTACGTCATCCGACGAGTGGTTGGCTTGCCATTCATCTAGAATGGCTAAGGGATGTAGGGCAAAAGTGTCTTCCTCCTCTTCCGACAGCGTAGGCTGGACAGAGTGTTTCTCTCTAGTGTCCGCCTGTCTGGGGCATTTTGCTGGTACTTTACCCTTTGCGTTTGAGTGGTTCTGGCCCATCCCCTTTCCAATAACGTTCATGGGGTTCGGAGAGATTCCGTCTTGAGGAATCGGAATCCTCTGATTCTTCGTCAGAAAGCGGGGGATCAGAGGTTTTGTGCTCCTTGGGCTCTAAGGGCAGCACCCGAGCCAGGGCCTTTTCAAGTGAAGCAGCGACAGCCGCGTTTATAAGAGCTTGCAGATTTTGATCCTGGTATGTGGCTTCCATAGTAATAGTATTGGCACCTATGGGGCAGAACAGGCCGGTAACAGCATGTATATCAAGGCCGTATTATATATAGAATAATATATTTTAAATCCAAGGTGCAAGCGTAAGCTGGGGGTTCATCCAGCATAAATAACCTCCGGGTGTGTGTATATATGTTTATATCCATGAAGAGGTATGGTGGCACAGACAAAGCGGGCCAATCATGGGCTGTATATCATAACCGCAATCATAAATAATACTTAGGGATTTACCCTTTATAAATTCACAGTGGAATGTGATTAATATAATAGGCTGATAAATATCATATGCGATGAGGGGGAAATACACCAATGCAATTATAGATAGGAATTGGGTGTGGGGCTCACCCCAATAATGACAGTTTTGATAGTAGTTTTAAATGAATTCAATGGCATAAATTTTTTTTATGTAGTATCTTTGAATCACCACCAGGGGGTGTACTGTATATATCCCCTTAGGTGAGGCAGGAGTGGAACCCACTTAGGAAGTGTGGGATCCACTGGTCGGCATAAATAGTGTCCGAAATGCAAATGGGGAATAGTAAGTAGTATCTATAATTTTATAATTGGTGTCTCGACGAGGCGCAGTACACCAAGATGGCCGCTGCACGGCCAGTATCAGCGCAGGTCGCGGCTCCAAGAAAACGGCTGCCGTGACCTCGCGCATGCGCACGAGAAGAATAAATGACCAGTTGGATCTCGCGGCAGTGCACGAGATCCAAGGTGGCCGCTGTGCGCACTAAGGGTCGTCGGAGGCGTTCTCCACGGCCCAGAAAGCCCGGGATAAATGGGGCAGAGATTGCCAACTGCAACCTGGGCTAAATGAGGCAAAAGAAAGTAAAGTAAAAAACAGAGAAAGAATAGAAATATGGAAAATAAAAGAATAAAGAATAAAACGATATGAAAAAGGCATTAAGTAGCAGGAGATATAGGAAAAATAAGCTGAAGAGAAATTTACAAATTTTTCAATTAAAATAGTTAAATCCCAGCAGACATATGCCACAATAATAATATCAAAAGTATGGGAGAAACAGATAAAAGAAATAAATGAATAAACCACAGAAACCCACAGAGAGTAGGAGACAGTGGCACTCTGACCTGTACTGATGTGAAGCAGCAAAGAAAGAGGAAATGACATCACTGGGAGGGAGTTTTATACCCTGTTCCTTTATTTCTGATTGATAATCCTGTTACTATGTTAAAAAGTGCTGCTGTGAATCGTAAGTAAAGAAAGACAAGCAAAATACGAAGCCTCCTGTCATGTTATAAAATTGCCATAGGTTTTAAAATCTATGTGAATTTTTGTAGATAAATCAGGGATGACTTCTGTACATAAATCATTACGAATATTGTTTTAACAGTATTGACTCATTCAGAAAGCTTAATAAATCGAGGCCACAATTAGACAATTGGCTGCTCTGCTGTTTTAATGTTCCTTAGTGCATAAGAGAATGAATAGATTATGTCAAATCAAAGTGAATTTCAATTTTAGAGATTGTTTTCAAGTCTGGATATATATATATTTTTTAATACTTTATTTTCATAGTTCATGGGATAACATACAGACTTGCGATGCCACGACAGCATTGACAAGCCTATTGCCAAATTTCAGGTAGGTACAGTGTCATGGCAAATGAAGAAAGTACACTTTTTTTTGTTGTTTTAAGAAACAAATTGAAGCATAGGTTTGCACTTTAGACCAGAAAAAATACAGGTTTAAGAATAAAAGTGTTAGCAGTAGATGGAGTAAGCTGTTGTGTCAGAGTGTGGAGATCTTGAGCAAGCAGGAGCAGTGTTATACATACTATGGGAAATTAATTTCAGATCTGTTAGAGGGGTTTTGCAGTGCCAGAGATAGGGAGGGCACAGTGTCCACAAATCTGGGCAGCACATGAGGAGGAACTCAGAGCATTCATCCTATGCCCAAGCTGGGTATACATTTCACACGTTTGTGCAGACCACTTGAGTGAGTAGCACTGCTGTGCTGTAGGTGAACCTCTTCCTCCCTGTCCCGGACCAGTGGAGCAGTCTGTCTTGAGGTGTCGTCCGATTGTAGGGCTGCAGGTGCCTTGGTCTTCCCATCAGGGAGAGAGCATGCAAGTCGCAGTGACTGGAGTGAACAGCGTTGTCGAGTCCTTACAGTTTGCCGCTGTGGGTAGCCGGGTGGGTCGCAGTGTGGAAGTATTGGAGATGGAAAAGACTGCTGCCGATGTGGTAGCGTGATGTGCAAGGGGTCCCTCAGGCCTCCCTCCGCGGTATCTGCCTTTGTCCCCTACCTGGACTGTGACTGGGTTTAGATAAGATGTGCAAGAAGGGGTCAGTCAAATCTGCTGTACGGCCCGGAGCCAGGCCTCGTGTCCCAGGCACCATTGCATCTGTCTGATGTCATCTCACACAAGGTGAGTATGTGATTAGAGGTTCCTCCACAAAACTGACAGCTTAGGTCTTGCTCGTGTGGACCGGGATATCCCCCACCAGTCCGGGGGGAGGGGTTGGGGTGCTGTTGGTCTGGGCCACGAACTGGAGAGCGAGGAGATCGGGTGCCTCTCCCCACTTGCATCCCCGCCAGGCTGCAGCTAGATTTCTCAGGTTCCCGACAGTGTACACCCTCGGGAGCGGTGTCATCAGACTTACCCGAGATTCCCTGACCTGAGATGGGCACAGAATGGGTTGGGGCAGTTGTAATGCAAGTACAAATATTCTACTTTTAACCAAGCTTGCAGGATCTCATGTGCCACGTGTCTAGACTTCTTGGCGGTCAGGCTATACCCTCCCAGCCCCCCGTCTGGATTTTTTTTTATCTTAAATTTGAAATTGACATTTCATTTTTTTAAAATTCTTAGCAGATTGAAAAAGTTGGTAGATGTAGCCTTAGCATTTGTAGTCCATGATGTTGTCTCTAATATACAGGGAGTGCAGAATTATTAGGCAAGTTGTATTTTTGAGGATTAATTTTATTATTGAACAACAACCATGTTCTCAATGAACCCAAAAAACTCATTAATATCAAAGCTGAATATTTTTGGAAGTAGTTTTTAGTTTGTTTTTAGTTTTAGCTATGTTAGGGGGATATCTGTGTGTGCAGGTGACTATTACTGTGCATAATTATTAGGCAACTTAACAAAAAACAAATATATACCCATTTCAATTATTTATTATTACCAGTGAAACCAATATAACATCTCAACATTCACAAATATACATTTCTGACATTCAAAAACAAAACAAAAACAAATCAGTGACCAATATAGCCACCTTTCTTTGCAAGGACACTCAAAAGCCTGCCATCCATGGATTCTGTCAGTGTTTTGATCTGTTCACCATCAACATTGCGTGCAGCAGCAACCACAGCCTCCCAGACACTGTTCAGAGAGGTGTACTGTTTTCCCTCCTTGTAAATCTCACATTTGATGATGGACCACAGGTTCTCAATGGGGTTCAGATCAGGTGAACAAGGAGGCCATGTCATTAGATTTTCTTCTTTTATACCCTTTCTTGCCAGCCACGCTGTGGAGTACTTGGACGCGTGTGATGGAGCATTGTCCTGCATGAAAATCATGTTTTTCTTGAAGGATGCAGACTTCTTCCTGTACCACTACTTGAAGAAGGTGTCTTCCAGGAACTGGCAGTAGGACTGGGAGTTGAGCTTGACTCCATCCTCAACCCGAAAAGGCCCCACAAGCTCATCTTTGATGATACCAGCCCAAACCAGTACTCCACCTCCACCTTGCTGGCGTCTGAGTCGGACTGGAGCTCTCTGCCCTTTACCAATCCAGCCACGGGCCCATCCATCTGGCCCATCAAGACTCACTCTCATTTCATCAGTCCATAAAACCTTAGAAAAATCAGTCTTGAGATATTTCTTGGCCCAGTCTTGACGTTTCAGCTTGTGTGTCTTGTTCAGTGGTGATCATCTTTCAGCCTTTCTTACCTTGGCCATGTCTCTGAGTATTGCACACCTTGTGCTTTTGGGCACTCCAGTGATGTTGCAGCTCTGAAATATGGCCAAACTGGTGGCAAGTGGCATCGTGGCAGCTGCACGCTTGACTTTTCTCAGTTCATGGGCAGTTATTTGCGCCTTGGTTTTTCCACACGCTTCTTGCGACCCTGTTGACTATTTTGAATGAAACGCTTGATTGTTCGATGATCACGCTTCAGAAGCTTTGCAATTTTAAGAGTGCTGCATCCCTCTGCAAGATATCTCACTATTTTTGACTTTTCTGAGCCTGTCAAGTCCTTCTTTTGACCCATTTTGCCAAAGGAAAGGAAGTTGCCTAATAATTATGCACACCTGATATAGGGTGTTGATGTCATTAGACCACACCCCTTCTCATTACAGAGATGCACATCACCTAATATGCTTAATTGGTAGTAGGCTTTCGAGCCTATACAGCTTGGAGTAAGACAACATGCATAAAGAGGATGATGTGGTCAAAATACTAATTTGCCTAATAATTCTGCACTCCCTGTATGTATCACAAATTTAAAAAGCCACTTCTACCACTTGATTAAGCCCTAAAGGGTGAAACGCGTTATGGTTCTTATATTTATTGTTATTAATAAAGTATTGTTTGGCTATCTCAATACAGAGTTTCTGTCACATACTTTTTTTGGCTACTTTTAACCCTATGAGTTTGGTTCTACCTGGCATACTACATCTACTGGTGACATCGGCAGAAAACCACAAGAATCCAGGGTGGGGATTATACCACCTACGCCTGATACACAGCACAGTTTGTCTGCTCAAAACATTGTAAGTAAGTTTTCAAATATTTTATTTTATACTTAAAGCAGAGTACACTATTGTTTTTTTCCTTTTTATTATGTTGGGGCACCTGATTACTACCATGTTGTGGAAAGCATCAGATTGATATCCCTATCCTTAATACTTTGTCTTGTGTATCCTGAAGTGTGTTTTATTTATGTAATGAAACCATACCTATTGTACAATGGCACTGCATATAATGAAACCATACCTATTGTACAATGGCACTGCATATAATGAAACCATACCTATTGTACACTCACACTGTACATCAGTGGTAGTCAACCTTTTCCTTTCTACCGCCCACTAATGCATCTTTCTTGATGGAAAAATTTCCTTACCGCCCACCAGTTTTCGCGCAAGTGCAGAATGTTTTTTAGAAAGGAGGGTGTTTAAAAATTTTTTTTTTAAAAATGTACGTACATTTATCTTTTTATTTCTACTTCATGCATGTTTATAATGTTTTTAACTTTATAAATTTTAATGAGAAAACAAAGTAAATTGAAATTACCTTTACTAGTGATTAATGAGATCCTTGAGGTTGATGCTGCGAGACTAAATATTTGATATCTGGTTCGATTTTCGTAAGGATCAAACAAAGGTCTCCTTTTTCGGTGATATTCAGACAATTTCTCTGTTTGCTCATAATATGATTTCTCCCCTCCTCTCCCTCCTCAATTCCCCTCCCCACCTTTTTCCCCCTTTTTTCTATTTTTTAACCTTCCTTATAGCAATGCCTAGTAGGAAGGCTGAGCTAGGTAGCCCACTTACTATTATTAGCCAACAACAATTCTCTCCTTTTCCTTCTTTCTCCTTTTTTACAAGTACTCTACTCCTTCTGTCTCCTTTTTACAAGTACTCTGCTCCTTCTTTCTCATATTCTACAAGTACCCTGCTCCTTCTTTCTCCTTTTTACAAGTACTCTGCTCCTTCTTTCTCCTATTCTACAAGTACTCTGCTCTTTCTTTCTCCTATTCTACAAATACTCTGCTCCTTCTTTCTTCTATTCTACAAGTACTCTGCTCACAGACAAATACATACACACACTCACACATACACTTACAGACACACACACTCACAGACAAACACACTCACATATACTTACAGAGAAACACATACACACAGACAAACATACACACACACACACACACACACACACACATATTTACAGTCACACACACATAAAGACTCACACATACACTTACAGACACACACACTCACAGAGAAACACATACACACAAACATACACACACTCACACATATACTTACAGACACACACAAATACACACTCACACATACACTTACAGACACACAAATTATTAATATTAAATGTCCACCCAGCCTCCCTACCTGGAGAGCTGGTGTGGATCTGTCCCTTGGGTCCAGTGGGGCTTCACTTCGGCGGGCGGCAGAGTTCTAATCCGAGGCGGCGAAGGAGCTCTAACCTCTCTGCCCTGCTCCATGGCGGGCTGTCTACTGATGCCAGGAGCTGGAATATGAAGTCATATTCCAGCTCCCATGGCATCAGCAAACATCGCGTGAGGGAGCAGAGCAGAGAGGTTAGAGCTCCCTCGCCGCCTTGGATTAGAACTCTGCCACGCCGGGGGGTCCAGAAGGTGGCCTGGCAGGATGGAGCGCTTCCCTCCTGCCGGTCACTGAAATCTTGCGACCCCAAGCCGCTCTCGCCTGCCCACTCTAAAAAGGAGATATCCTCTCAAAAAGAGGATTTAGCCGCCGAAATCTCTACTGCCCACCCGGAATCCTAAAACGCCCACAAGTGGGCGGAAGGGACCGGGTTGACGACCCATGCTGTATATAATGAAACCATACCTAGCATACACTGACACTGCATATAATGAAACCATACCTAGCATACACTGACACTGTATATAATAAAACAACCATACCTAGCATACACTGACACTGTATATAATAAAACCATACCTAGCATACACTGACACTGTATATAATAAAACCATACCTAGCATACACTGACACTGCATATAATGAAACCATACCTAGCATACACTGACACTGTATATAATAAAACCATACCTAGCATTCACTGACACTGTATATAATAAAACCATACCTAGGGTACACTGACACTGCATATAATGAAACAACCATACCTAGCATACACTGACACTGCATATAATGAAACAACCATACCTAGCATACACTGACACTGTATATAATAAAACCATACCTAGCATACACTGACACTGTATATAATAAAACCATACCTAGCATACACTGACACTGTATATAATAAAACCATACCTAGCATACACTGACACTGCATATAATAAAACCATACCTAGCATACACTGACACTGTATATAATAAAACCATACCTAGCATACACTGACACTGTATATAATGAAACCATACCTAGCATACACTGACACTGCATTTGACACCATGCTGACATGCCCCTACAGTGTCAAATGAGCCACGTTTTGGGATCCGACCCCAGCAGAAACAGGTCCAGGGGCATGTCCCATATACCTAGCAACCAGATGAGCTGTTCCCCTGTGCAGCCACTGTGCTGGGAGGAAGTGATTACATCTCACCACCTCTGAGAACACAGAGAACCACAAAGGGAAGGAAGGAAGAAAGAGAGGAATCGGGAATGGAGGTGGCAGGCAGCAGAAGAAAGGAGAAGTGGAAACAGAGCCAGACAGACAGTAGGCCATTTAGTTTTGAAACCTGCCAATTTGTCAGCTGATAGGGAAAATGTCCCTGAAACTACAGGACAGTCCAATCCTTGCCCCATGGAAGTCAGTTTTTCCCCTATAATTAAACACAAATTGGTAAGATTGTACAACTAAACTCTAAAGAGGGTACAATCCTAAAGAGCCACTCCTACCATGCCAAATTAAAGATAAATACAGTTGTGCTCAAACGTTTGCATACCCTGGCAGAAATTGTGAAATTTGATTTTAAAACTATGACTGATCATGCAAAAAAATGTCTTATTGAAGGATAGTGATCATATGAAGCCATGTTTTATCACATAGTTTGATTTTATTAAAAATCATACTGTTAACAGAAATCACCCAAATGGTCCTGATCAAACGTTTACATATCCACTCTCTCTAGCATGTAAGCTCATCGAGCAGGGCCCTCAACCCCCTCTGTTCCTGTACGTCAGTGGTCTGATCTCAATTATGTGTCTGTTAGTCCACCCATTGTACAGCGCTACGGAATTTGTTGGCGCTATATAAATAATAAAATAATAATAATAATAATAATAATACCCTTGAATGTTTTGCCTTGTTACAGACATTAAAGGTACATTTTCCACACCTGTGGCTTTTTAAATTGCAGTTTTATTACGACATGGAGGCTCCTGTTATGCTGCACTCTTTCTTTATTTCCCTCAGCAGCAAAGAAATAATATAACATAACATTCAAACGGTATGATAACAATAAATAGCATTAGAGGTATATCATCCTAGTGACAGGAACAGCCAATCAGCTTCTGCTCTCCAGTATAATAGGCGATGATGTATAATCTACTTTCTCTTTCTTTGCTGCTCCCTCAGTTAAGTAACACTCTTAACTGTGGGATCTTTTAAATCTCTAAACCTTTTAGAATTTTATTATCCGTTTTAATATTTGGTAGTAAAGTTGATGTACATTTCTGTTCACGGCAGCCATTTTTTGTTTTTTTGCCGTGTTTTGATGCTAGTACTGCCCCCAACAGCTGTAACTTGGAGTTGGGGTTTAGTTTTAGTGGCGGTCGGACGGCTCTGGTGTTTGTGAAATAAATTTTGATTGTATTCAACTCCTGTGAATACACTTTCCTCCCTTTTTTTAAATTCTTTATTTGTGCATGACAAGAACAGTGGCATAAGATTCACATTTCGGCTTTCGCAGAAGCCCATATGCATCATTATATTAAAAGCCCATTCTAACCCTGCGACTTTGTGTATGCGGTTAAGTTCTCTGCGGCCAGATTTCACCGTCCGTCAAAAATTTTTACATTACAGAAGCACGATTTCCTTACATACTCTATTGTGTGTGCCACTGTTGCGTATTTTCGTAGTGTGGTGTCACGCCCCCTAGTGCATATCTGTCGGGTTGTTGTATCCCTAGCCCGTCGCACCTCGCTACTTCTTGATCCAACCATACCCCGCTGCACTCCCCTGGCCTGCCTAGATCTAATGTAGGTGCTGCGTGCTTATCGGCACTCTCTCCTATACGTGCTCCATAGAAAAGGGTTAAATGAGTGGAGAAGAAGAAAGAAAAGTAGAGAAAAAAGTATCCTTAGGCGGTCCAGGGCCCGAGAGCGGGAGGCCGAGGGGCAGCGGGGGGGTGGGAGGGGGAAGAAAAGGGGGTGCAGGGAGCGCAGCACAAACCCCGAGTGGGAATCGCCTGTGTGTCCCTCAGGGCCCCCCTCCCAGGCAGCCGCATCCACCTCAGTCTGTTCTGCCAAGGCTGCCCTACTCTCCCCTCAGTTGCCCCACGGGGATTCGACCCATGGCTCCCATACCCTTTGGAAGGTCTTGGTGGTGCCCCTGACCCTGGCCGTAAGGTCATCCATCAACTGGATGTCTTTTATCCTACCTATCACACTCGTTATTTGTGGTAGATCCTGCTGTAACCATTTAAAGGCTATTGCTTGTCGTGCGGCTAGCGTAATCTTATGGACCAGCTTCTGTTCCCTTCGCGTCCATGCCTCCACCGACCTGTTTAGGAGATAAACCCATGGTTCCAACACGGGCGCCCTAGAGAACACCTGTTGCACCAGGTTGTGTACTGCTGCCCAAAACGGGAGCATTCCCACCACATGTGGAGGTATGTTCCCCTGGCTCCGCATCCCCTCCAACATAAGTCTGTAGTGGTTTTGTGCATTTTGTACAATGTCACTGGGGTTGTGTACCAGCGAAACATTGTCTTAAAGGCCTGTTCCTGGTGAGTTACACAGACCGAGGAGGTATTGTTCGCTTCCCATATCTCCTGCCATTCTACTCCATCAAGCTCCTCTCCCAGATCCTTTTCCCATTTTGCGGTGTAGGTCAGGCCCCCCCATTCCCCAGTCTCTGTACAAAAGTGTGTATAGAGCGTTGAAATCAGTCCTCTAGGTATGTTTTCTGAGGTCCATATGCGCTTGAAAAAGGTGAGGGGATGTTTCGCTGTGTCCTTAATGTGAGGTTGGGCGGCGAAGTCCCTGATCTGTAGATAGCGGAAAGATGCCTACCCTGTTTAAGGTCGTTGAATGTGACAATATCAGTACCCTGATATAGGTGGTGTAGCCTCTGAAGACCTGCTCTCTCTAAGTTTCGGAAGTTTCATGCTTCTATACCCGGGTAGAATGCTATGTTGCGTAGAATGGGCATCAAGGGGGACGGGGAGGATGTCAGTCCATATTTCTTCCCGTATTTATCCCAGAGCCGGAGGGAGGTCATAACTGCAGGACACACAGCGCACCCCAAGAGCCTGTCCTCCCTCGGGATCCACATTGCAAATTGGGGTAGGTCTGACCCTAGCATAAGTGATCCGATTTCCACCCATTTCTGGTCGTCTAGTGGCGAATGCCATAATGCGACTTGAGTCATTTGGGCAGCCAGGTAATAGAAGAACTAGTTCGGAAGGCCTAGTCCCCCTCTCTGTTTGGATCGGTACAGTACGTGCCTCGATATCCGTGGCCTTTTGTTTTGCCAGATAAATTGGCCTATTATCTGTTGGATTGGTGCCAGTTGGGCTTTGGATAAGTGTATGGGCAATGCCTGAAACATGAATAGTATCCGAGGGAGGACGTTCATTTTTATGGAGTGGATCCGGCCTATCCACGATATGGGCTTATCTGCCCATTTTTCTAAATCTTTAGTTATGGTTTTCCATAAGGGGATATTATTACGGGCATAAAGGGCGCTAGGCTCGGCAGTGACTTGTATCCCCAAGTACTTAAGAGTGTCCCTCTCTATGTGAAGGTTGTATGTGCTGTGTAGCAACGCTATATCGGTTTGGGACATGCTTACCGGAAGAGCGCTGGATTTTGCCATGTTGGCCTTGTATCCCGAGATCTCCCCGTATTCCTTTAGCGTCTCCCCTAAGGCAGCCATTGAAACGTCCGGGTTTGTCATTGTCAGGAGTACGTCGTCAGCATAGGCTGCCGCGACAAATTCCCTCCCTCCCACTTTGACCCCTTGAATATTGGAATCTTGCCTAGTTGCTTGCAGCAGCGGCTCCAAAGCCATGACAAACAGCAAGGGGGACAGGGGGCATCCCTGTCTGGTGCCGTTATGTAATCTAAAGGGCGAAGGGGGTGCGCCAGTGATCTGCACCTGCGCTCTCACGTTGCTATACATGGCTCTCACTACTCTAATGTACGTGTCTGGGAATCCCAAGTGTGTCAGCAAAGAAAACAGATAAGGCCATTTCACTCTATCAAAAGCCTTTTCGGCATCAATAGAAACTATTAGTGTCGGTGTGTTATTGTTTGCTTGTTTCCATATAAGGGTGATGTTTCGGCGGGTGTTTTCAAATAATTGTCTCCCCGGTATAAACCCTTCCTGATCAGCGTCTATTAGAGATGTTAAAAGGGGGGTGAGTCTATCCGCCTGGATTTTGGCCAGGATCTTCATGTCCTGGTTAATTAATGAGATGGGTCTATAGCTGCCGGGTAGTAGTGGGTCTTTGTCTGGTTTGGGCAGTAAGACTATCGTGGCCAAGGACATATCGGGGGTCGGCGTTCCCGTTTCGCGGAAATCGTTGGATAGTTTATGTAGGTGGGGGGTAAGCGCTACACGGAAGGTCTTGTAATATGCCCCGTCAAATCCATCAGGGCCAGGGGCTTTATTCCCTTTTAGTCCCGAAATTGCCTTGTCTATCTCTTCTTCCGTTATTTCAGCTGCAAGGCCATCTGAGGCCTCCCGCGATAGTTTGGGTAGCTGTATGTCCGCCAGAAACCTTCGTATGCGTACCTCCCCCCTAGTTCCCTCTTGTCTGTCCCCTGGGGAGTGGTCGTATAACGTCTTGTAAAAGTCTGTAAAGACTGTCGCTATGTCTCGGGGCGAGGTTTTTATCGTCCCATCGTTGTGTTTAATAGATGTTATGTGTGTGCGGTTTTGTCAGGGTTTCAAGTTCCTGGCTAGCAGTGTGTCCATCTTATTTCCTTTCTCATAGAAGGTCCTTTTAGACCAGGTCAAGGTCCTCGCTGTGTTGTCTAAAAGTAATTGTCGCACGGCCCATCTCCCCTCCTCTACCTGTCTCAATGTGTCTTGGTTGGGACACGTTTGGTGTTTTATGCTCGAAGGTCTTGAGTTTCGTTAGTAGCGTTTCGAGGGCTTCTGCTTTTTGTTTTTTCTTCCTCGTTGCCAACTTAATTAGAGTTCCCCTTATCACGGCCTTATGCGCCGCCCATATAGTGCTAACTGGAATGTCCGGGGTGGTATTGGTCTCAAAGTATTCCCCAATCTCTTTGTGTATTTGTGCCACCAGTTCTGGATCTCTCAACAACGATGTGTTGAGTTTCCATGTCCAGGGGGCTGACGTGCATAAATTCCCCAGGGTAATTGATACCTCTGCGTGGTCCGACCACGTAATGGCCCAACCGATGTGGCTGTGACTCTCGAGAAGCATGTGGCATTAGTCAGGAACAGATCGATCCTGGAGTATGTTGCATGGGGGGCTGAGTAAAAGGTGAATTCTACGTCCCCTGGGTGCTGCGCCCTCCAGGCGTCTATCAGACCTGTGTCTTTCAGAAATTTATGTAACAGTTTATCCTGGCCCCCTCTGCCCTGTGATTTAGGAACTCCTCTAATGGAGCTTCTGTCTATCGCAGGACTCGGTGTTGCATTAAAATCCCCCCCAACTATGATCATCCCGTGTGGTAGTGTCCGTATTTTAGTTTGAAGTGTGTCCCAGAATCAGGTTGATTAGGGGCGAAAACATTGATCAAATAAATGCCATGGGAATAAAGGGTCCCCGTTACTATAATGTAGCATCCGTCAGAGTCCATTTCAGTTGAGTTAATCTGTAGGGGGCAGCTCTTTCTAATGAGTATGGCCACTCCGTTTCGTTTCCTGTACGTTCGGGACTCATATGAACCCGTGTATATGTGATCTCTTAGTCTCAACTGTGCGTGTTTTGGCATGTGTGTCTCCTGGACAAAGGCAATGTCCGCCCTCATCCGCTTCAGTTCCCTGTAGAGCATGCGCCGCTTTTGAGGGACATTCAATCCCCGTGCGTTCAGTGATACTACTTTAATCACCATCTGTACCTTTATAACCGGCATCATCCTATCATTTCACCGTCTCCTTCCCCCCTATCCCCGTATGTAAGGTAGTGTGCGTGCCTAATACCGTCCTTATTGATCACCCCCGTCTCTCCCACCCTGCCTTGACAGATACATTGTTGTGTAGACCCCAGTCCCTGAATCCCCCTCCCAAATACGTTGCCTTTTCCCCCAGTTCTGCTGTCTCGAGCACGTTGCAAGGCCCCCTCGGAGCAAAGTCTGAGTCCCTCTTCGTCTTTCCATAGTCCCTTTGGTCTTTTGTGAGACCTCCACTTGTGACCGCTCCCTAGCTCAGGTGCCATCGTCCACTCCTGCCAGCAAGGTCACCCTCCTTCATGCCCCCTCCCAGCCTCATCTTTTCAGTCCCTTCCTGCTTTGTGGCCTCTCACTCCTGTTCATGTCCAGTCTTCCCGCAGGCCCCTTTTCCCCTCCACCCAAATAGTCCCGGTGTGCCTCCCTTGGAGACCATGCAGTGCCTCCCTGTTAGCCCGGGTTATTATACAATACCAGTTGCTGTCTTCAGCGGGTTCCTGCCGTCTGCCATTCCAATGGTATGGGCGTCAGCTCCTCCAACTGTGGGGGGCCAGCCGGCCAGCCCCTCAGTGGTTCCAGGCCCAGCTCCCTCACAAAGCGCTGTGGGTCTCCTCCAGCTGGTAGTGTGTGGACTCTGCCTCCGTGGAAAGCCATCAGGCGAAAAGGGAAACCCCAAGCGTAGCGGATTCCTGCCTCGCGCAGTGCCTCTGTGATTGGTTTCCAGTCTCTGCTGCGCTGGAGCGTGCTTGGTGCCAGATATCTCTGATATCTAATGGGACCCTCTCTGCTCCTCCTCAATAAGGCCCCCTTGGTAGAGAAATGGAGGAATTTGATTATAACATCTCTAGGGGAGTTGGGCTCAGGTCTCCTTGCCCGTAGGGCTCTATGAGCCCTCTCTATGCGCCACATATCGTCCGGGATATCGGGTAGCAATGGCTGAAATACTTGGAGCAACATTGCCTGCAGGGGTCCCTCCCCCTCTCTCTCCGGCAGGCCGCGGATTCTCACGTTGTTTCGCCACGATCTGTTCGCTATGTCCTCCACCTGCAATGCCTGCTCAGTCAAGGCGGTTTACCTGGGCTACCACCTCATTGTGTGCCCTGGTGTTGTCATCCATGCATTCCTCTAAGCGGCCTGTCCTTTCGCCGAGTGCGTGGATCTCTGCCTGCAATACTGCTGTGGACTTCCCTATCTCCCCTGCCAGGAAAGCTCTTACCTCAGCTAGTTTGGACAGTATTTGTGTGGCTGTCCCTTGGCTAAGATCCTCTGCCCCCGCTGCACGTGGTGAGTTAGATGCCGTGCTTGAGAGATTGTCGGCGCCATTTTGTTCATCCGACATCCCAGCCTTCTGGGCCACAAAGAGCTCTGGGACAGTGGACCCATTTTCAGTCCCTTTCTTCTGTTTTTTTGGGGGGGGTTACGTTTCTCCATGGGTGGTCTGGGATCGGTACCGCTTGTGTATTATCGCTGTATATAGCTTTTCTCAGCGTTGCTGGAGCGGAGCTCTACACACACGCGTTCAGCTCCGTGTTCGGTTAGGCCACGCCCCCACTTTCCTCCCTTTTAACCTAGATCCTCTATTTGGGTTAATCAAACCTTTCTAGGTTTTCTATTTACTTTAATTATCAGTTCTAATTTGAAAATGCAGTCTGGCAAAGATGCCCTAGCATCCTCTGGGTCTACTGCACCCATTCAGGTTTCTTTTGATACATTCCCAAGTACATCTGGAGACGGAGCAGAATTCACCGCTGACTTTGAAGCTCCTGCTGAAATGCAGACTTTGATTGACAACTCAATGTCAAAAGCCATGACTAAAGCCTTAATGTCAGCTATGGGAGTAATGTCTGACTCCCTGTCACAGACATTTGCACAAGCCTTGATTCAGGCACAGAGATCGGCTCAGCCGACTCCTGTGCAGCCTCATTCTGGCCGCAAAGCCCTTGCTAAAATTAAGCATTCCTCAATGTCATATAGACAGCATTACACCTGTCTGTCAGGATTACAAATTGATCCAGCATGCAGTAATGTGTCACACCTAGGACTAAGGATAACGTATAACCGGACCTTAGAATGGCCGGACTTAAGGTCTCCAAGAATAGTCAAAATACTTGCCAAGGCCAAGGATACCAGATATAAGGGAAGTCAAAACAAAGCCAAAGTCAAATACCAGAAAATCAAGATCAGGAACGCACTCTTGGATAACCATAGGCATGACCCCCACGACAGGGAAATGAGCAAGAGGAGAATTGGGTTTAAATACCCCTCCTGTGTATCCGATTGGCTGTAACCGGCCTTTGACCCCAAAGGCAATTACCAGGTTTTCATCTGCATGATTGCTGCTCAGCACAAACCCTCCTGTGGATCTGATTGGCTGTAACCAGCCTTTGACCCCAAAGGCAATTACCAGGTTTGCATGTGCATGATTGCTGCTTAGCACAAACCCTCCTGTTGATTTCATAGGCCATGACCTGCCTTTGACCCCAAAAGTAATTACCAGGTTTCCATGTGCATGATTGCTGCTTGGCACAACTTTTCCTGTCAGGACGGTAATGTTGCTCGGCACAACTTTTCCTGTCAGGACAGTAAATGCCATCCACACATTTC